CATCATGAGGTCAGGTGACGTTCACTTGTAGCTCCCAAAATTAGTCGGACAAAATGTGGCAAAATGTCTTCTCGACGTCCCTGGGGCTACCAAAATTTCGACACCACATGCCTTGACATTTCTTAACCACTGCTGCTCCCAACCTATTGTTGAAATATGAGCAATTACGAACTATTTTAGACAACCGTTTAATAAGTTTTCATTGCCTTATGACAAAGTAATTGTGGTGATAGCTTCTAATAACAACACATTAACCTTTATTGCTCACCAGCAAGTTCTTAGAATTACTTGTAAATTTTTAATATCGTAATGTTTCTTTCATTTTAGTACCAACGACAAGGTGGATTCAAGGAGAGCGCTTGTTGCTGTTCAAAGCTGAAATCCGTTAAATGTGTAAATTATTGCAGGCAATCGGAGGACGGATTAAATTTTGTTAGTTTTAAGCCTTTCTTTCCACAGTAAAATTTATCAGTTATGGCATTAGTCAGATTTTCTGGGATGCTAAAGTAACAGGTTTCGAAAAGTCTCTTGATTTGCAGATAGAGCCTAAAACGTTGACAGAAAGCGAAGAGCCATTGTGATTTAATATGTTAATGTATCATTAAGCGTTTTGAAACTCAAACTGTACTGATGATTCCCATTCCATTTCGCAGCGATTCAGCCGTCTGTGTTTACAGTTCAGGGATGAAACACAGACGCCACCTAGTTCAAGTACCGATTTGCTCACGTGAGATAGCTAAATGGCTCTTTTGGTTTTCAAGAAATATTAAAATTCGACTGTTTTTTTTTCTTTGTTGCCTACACTGCAGCCAAATTACACATGCAGTCGTAAGGTACATCTTTACTCCGCCCTGCTCCAACCTTTTAGCGCTGTCAATTTGATTATTTTTATTAGCACTTTAGTAGTATTCAATATTTTCCAATACTTCGCCGCAGCTAACAGTCGTCGAGATAAGAAAGAGTTAAAGACAGCCTTAAAAAAGTCTTCCGTTATCTTACTATCGTTTCTGTCACTTTTAATGAAACTAAATGCACTTATTTAAACTTGAAACACTGAAAAATCTGGTAGTTCCAGATATACCACTTGTTAAACTCAAGTGAAATTTGTGCGGAGCCATCATTCTCCATCTCTGCGTATTTCAACTGCCGTATTCAAAATGCTGATGGTAAAATTCTCGAAGAAACACCTGAAAATTTCACCCTTGCCACGCACACATCTAACACTACGCTGTACAAACAAAATAACGAGGATTTTGAGCAACCAGAATCAAACACCGAGTTGCTACCACAGAACGTCAGTGGCAGCAGCCTTTCAGATTGGCCGGAAGAAGAGGAAAGAGGTAAACTGGTGCAGCAGTGTTGTGTGAAAAATATGATCTTACGCACGAGACTTGGCCAACCATGTATCCATTTCTGTAACGGTAAATTTGTATTAAAAGATCTGAAAAGAAAACAGTATTTGAAGTGCATGGAGTTTATGTATCATGTTGTAAATTGTTATAAAAATATTAACTATCGGTCATATTTTGTGGATTATTTCCAGGGTCTCAAAGATCCAGAGGAATTCTGGGAAAATGAACGGGGGGAGGTGTCGCAAAATTTTACTACATCGTCACTACCGGTGACGCAAGGATTGGCATAGTAGAAGACGCGAAAGTCTGGATGTCATTTAGGTGTGAGCTCAGATCAAATCCATCTCTTCTTTTCTACTGGCTTAGCGGTCGAGAAGTTGATATTTTGCGACAGGGGAAAAAAGAGAAAAATGGAAATTTTTCCATCTTATTTTACCGCACAGTGGTGACAAAATTGCCTGAAACCAGTTTTTAAAATTT